ACCTATTGGATAAAAGTTAAAACAAATGGTATGAAATGCGAGAGTGAGGTAAGAGGAGGTTCTCCAAATTTTAGGAATTTAGGAGAAGGACATGTATGTGAGTGGAGAAAACAAACAAACAAAGGTTGTCCACTTGCACTTGAACGAATTTGAGTGACACTAATGAATTGTAACTTAAATCCTTGGTTTTTATATCTTAAATTTCTGTCGACAATGTCTCGAGATGGTTGCGAATTGGTTGGAGAAGGCGATGATTTGGGCAAAATGGCATAGACGATGAACAATCGATGTAACTCAACGGACAACGGTTAAACATAGAGTATGCAAAATGAGAGAGTTGCGTAAAACGTAAAAGAAGACACTTGGGAGATATTTGAGTAAATGGACATTAGAATGGAAAAACCTATTGGACAAAGTGAAAACAAATGATATGAAATGGGAGAGTGGTGTAATAGGAGGTTCTCCAAATTTTAGGAATTTAGGAGAAGGAAATGTGAGTGGAGAAAACAAACAAACAAAGGTTGCCCACTTGACACTTGTACTTGAAGGAGTTTGAGTGACACTAATGAATAGTAACTTCAATCATTGGCTTTTATATGTTAAATAAATAAATTAACTAGCAAAAGCCCGCTCGCATGAGGTAGAAGGGTCGTCCAATAGATTATTTATGTTTAAACTTCTTTCATAACGCTATTGTTTCCATTTGTATGGCTAGTAGTTGATCCTGCTGTAACTTTTGCAGAATGAAGCTGCTTTTCTCTGGATCTTTTCAAGAAGTATTTTAAAAAATAAAAGTTGAGTGTTTAGGTGAAAAACTATCAGAATTACATTCTAATATAAGAGGTAATGTAAAATGACTAAAAAATATTTCTAACATAAAATATGAATACGAATTCTAAAAATTAAAAAGTATTTAAAATGGATCACGTTAGATTTATTTCATATTAAATAATACTATTTTTCAAAAAAAAAATTATAATGATATAAATGAAAGAATATTATGTTTTCTAAAAAATAATAATATATGGTGACAATTTTGTATTTTACAATCGGAGCTTCTGCTTTTAAGTTACGAAAAACTTCAGCTTTTTAAAAAGCGAGAATTTAGAGGTGTTGACTTGGTTTCAACTTTTGAAACATAAAACTTCTAAAATTCGGGCAAAACATAGTCGTACTCTTTTGGTTTTTTGTTTTGTTTTAGGTAATTGTGGTTCTCCTTTATGAAATTTTTGGACTGATTGTAGGTTTGTCTTTCTCGAACAAAAGGAAAAGAGCGAAATGAAAAGCACAAGAGCTAAAACTCGGTATCCACTCAAAACTCATCAACACCAGGTTCAACTCGATTTGACTTTGTTAAACCGAGTTTTGGCCAAATTCACCCCTGACACAACCCACCAATTAAAAAAGCAGATAAAATCCGCTCCTGCCAAAAACCTATAAAAATGGGTTCAAGTTGCTTTGATCGAGTCGAATTAGGTTGGATACTCATGAGTTAGACCCTAAAACGGGTTCAATTGTCATTCTCAACCAAAAGGAAAAATATAAAAAATACTAAAATGGATAATACTCGCTCACGACCCCAAACTCTCAACACTGCATTCAACTCGATTTGACCAGGTCGACCTAGTTTTATCAAATTCACAATTTACCCAACTTGTCAATTACAAAAGCAGATAAAACTCGCTCTCAATACGAAACGCATCAACAATGGGTCAGAGTTCAATTGTCATTCTCAACAAAAAGGAACATGAAAAATAAAAAATATTAAAGCGTACAACTCGCTTTCGATCTAAAACTGGTCAACAACGTGTTCAACTGCCTTTGACCAATTTGTTAACAAATTAACACTTGGTCGAACTTGGCATCTACAAAAGCGGATAAAGCTCGCTCACAATACAACACTCGTCAATACCTTAGATTCGGGTTTTATTGTCTTCCCAACCAAAAGAAAAAAATGAGAAATTTATAAATACTAAAGTCTGTTTCAAGTCGCTTTGACCGGATCGAAATAGGTTGAACACCCATGAATTTGAGTTCAATTGTGATCGTGCTAAAAAAAAAGGAAAAAGTGAAAGAGGAAACCACTAAAGCATACTAAACTTGGTCCCGATACAAAACTCGCCAACATTGAGTAGATCTGGTATGGATTTTTGGTAGCGACATTGGGAAACGGTGGAGGGGGACAACTTAGAATCCCGTTGATGGTGTTTTGAGAAGGTTGTGAATTGGTGAGCGATGTTGAGGATTGGACAGAGCATATCTAGTATGGATCTTTGGTCACAGCCATGACAAACGGTGGAAGAGGAGAACTCAGGATTTCACTGACAGTGTTGCGAAATGGTGCGAAAAGGCTATGATTTGGGTTTAAGTTATGATACACATGTGTTTGGGTTCAATTGCGATCTTGATCAACAAAAAGAAAAAACACTAAATAGGATGAAACTCGGTCCCGATATAAAACCCGTGGTAGCGCACTTGGGAAACGATGGTGGGGAACAACTTGGATTCCACCGACAGTATTTCGAGATGACCTGCGAAATGGTGAGCGAAGGCGATGATTTGGGTTCAAGTTAGAATACCCATGTCACGATGTGTTTGTGATCAACTGTGATCATGCTCAATAAAAAGGAAAATAAAGAGAATGAAACTCAGTCCCCACACAAAACTCGTGGTAGCAACCTTGGGAAATGGTGGTGGGGAACAACTTAGTATTCCGCCGACAATATTTTGAGATGTGCTGCAAAATGGTGGACAAAGGCGATGATTTGTGCAAAAAGTCATAGACGAAAACCTAGTGGATAGTTGCTACAATAGGGAGTTCATAGGCAATAATTGTTATGAGAAACACAATGGACAATAGATGTAACTCTAGTGAACAATTGCTAAACACAAAGGTTGTAGAATGTACAGTAGGATAAAAGAAGAACTTAGAACTTCTCCACTTGCACTTGGTGGAGTGTGAGGGACACTAATGAATAGTAACTCTAATGTTAGGCTTTTATATATTAATATATTAATAATAATTAATGTTAGGCTTTTATATATTAATAATTAATGGGTCAGACTGGCGTACGTAAGTCGTATACTATATGTCAGGTACTACAAGTGAGATATCTCTATCCAGACCATGAATTAAATCGAGTTTGGGGTATGATACTATACCCTAACCTCTAATTGATAAACCCTAGGCACCGATTTTCTAAACCCTAACCCAAAGTTTGATTTAATGAAAAACAAAAATTGACCATTGAGATCGGCCAGAGCTCATCTAACTATATCTAAAGGCTAGATCACCTGACGTATACTATACGCCTGACGCACACCAGTCATCACCATTAATTAATAATGAATTTTGAGACTGTTTCTTTCTTGGCTCATGTGTTTATTCCCGAGGATTGGAAAACCGTATTTGTAGAAGTTGTACCCGGTAGCGTATTGTTATGCTAAAATTCTTGTTTAATCATTATTCAACTGTTTCATACCACTAAGTATACCGTCTATCGATTTCACTTATGATAGAAGTTGTTTTTGGTCGAACGGCTGATATGATATTTTAATCCTTGGTTTTCCCTCATATGCTTAATTTACTGTTTGTTCGAAGTTTTCTTGCATTCTAATATTTTTTTGCACTGCTAGTTGGCCACAAGGTTTGAATCAAGAGTGTGGTGGTTGTTCTCATAGTCACATTATGACTAGGACGAAAAACCCATGGGGCGTTGTTGCTTCTACTAATTTTTTGTTTGTTTTTGCTGTTGCTTCTACTATTTATCAATGTTCCTAATCATCCATTTTTTAGGGGATAATTGCATGGTTGGTCACTGAGATTACAAAAAACGTTTAAGTTTGATCACTCAAAATATTTAAATTCATTGATGGTACTTCAGTTTACTGAAACCGTTCACGTTTGGTCACTCTCCGTCCAACTCCGTTAACTTTGGCTGATGTGGCAATCAACTCTTAAAGTTGACCGTTAACCTAGTGATGTGGCAATTAAGAAATAATAAATAAAATAAATTTAATCTATTTTAATGTCCAACTCATTTTTACCATAAAATAAATAATAAAATGAAAAAATGTTAAGATTATCAAATTAGGTGGGGACGCCCGCGCGGCGGAGGCTGGGATCCTCCTAGGGATGGCAATGGGTCGGGTTGGGTCGGATTTTGCCAAACCCAAACCCAAACCCATGGGTTTATCTTTGAAAAAAACCTGGGGTAAAACCCACTGGGTTTGAAAAACTCAAACCCAACCCAACCCGTTGGGTATCCGCGGGTTCATGGGTACCCACGGGTTTTGTCGTAAAAAATTTACAATTACAAGTTCTTATTAAAATTAAAGTCAAATATCAATCTCTCAATACAACTTATCCATATATAAAACACCATTCTAGAAAATTCAAGCAAATCACAAATTAACTATACAAATTGTTCAACACCAATCTAGAAAACTCAAGAAAATGGAAGCAAATCACAAATTATCCATAAATAACATGTTTAATTGAAAGCTTCTTCCTTTCAATTAAGTTTCTTTACTCTCCACTCCATAACATCAACTTCATTCTACACAATTAAAAAGAAAAAATTAGACATATCTCCACAAACATAAATAAGACTAGTTGTTTAGAATATTAAATATACCGAAAAAATTAATTATATGGGTGGGCGGGTACCCACGGGCCGAGTTTACCTAAACTCAAACCCAACCCAACCCGTTGAATAGTAAACGGGTTTAAACCCAAACCCAACCCAAAACCCGTCAACACGGATTTTACCCGCGTTGACCGGGTTGGGTCGGGTGGGTACCCGTGGGTTCGGATTTTGTTGCCATCCCTACATACTCCTAAACCCTAAACTCATTGCGGAGGCAGGGCTCGACAATGGGGGAAACAGGACACGGTGGTGATGCCCGCGCGGCGGAGGCTGGGTTCCTCCTCAAGTTTAGCCAGCTGGGAGATGTTGTACTGAGACTGAGAGTAAGTTAAATAGCTCCCGTTCCGATTATTATCCACATAAGAAAGGCTCATGAGCTTCAATTTCATCTCCAACATGGAGCCGGAAACACGCCCAGAGAAAGATTCGCTCGCCTTGAAAGCAGTGTACATGTTCCGGAGCTCGAGTGACCGGTTTGGCCACAGCTTGAGAAGGGGCCAGTAGCAGGCTCTTCTCTGTTTCGTCACTGTCCTTGGAGAAACTTGCTTGTACCAAATCCCTATGCACTAATTTTCTGATTTCCCAGGCTTGAAGAAACCCAATTTGAAGACTCCCCCTGCCGAGACGATAGTTTGGTCGCAGGAAAGTGAACGGATTGGAGTGATTCGATCTGCTCCATCGCAGCGGAGAAGTTTGAGGCAGATGGAACTCAGGATTAGAAGAGAAAGCCTGAACAAGATGGCTTCCATTTATTTTATGGTTAAAATGAGTTGGATATTAAAATAGATTAAAATTTATTTTATTTATTATTTTTTAATTATTACGTCACTAAGTTAACAGTCAACTTTGAGAATTGACTGCCACATCAGCCAAAGTTAACGGAGTTGGACGGAGAGTGACCAAACGTGAACGATTTCAGTAAACTGAAGTACCATTAATGAATTTAAATATTTCAAGTGACTAAACTTGAATGTTTTTTTTTTAAATCTCAGTAACCATGCAATTAACCCATTTTTTTAGTGAGTAGAATAAGGAGAAAGAAACAAATGACTAATTTTGAATTTATTGCTTAGTCAAACCGTTGAGTGATTTGTAGCCGTTTTAGATTTGTTCTGCAAATTATCTTCCAAATGCAGTGGGGTTGGGCTTGAATGGTAGAGATTTGAAAGGGCCTGGGCCTCGTGTGGCTGGTCTGGGGTTTAGGTGCAGTGGGTTGGGGTTGGATGATAGAGGTCTAGAACTTGGACATTGGGTTGGGCTGGAGAACGCATTAGGATTATTACTCAAAATTGAGTAATCACCGTGGCTACTAAAATCTACACATTTTATTATCTTTATTACTCTAATTTTAATTTGACGGTGAAAGATTAGATTAAGGATAATTTTGAGAATAAAAAAATACCACACCTGCATTTTATCCTTTAAAAAATTATTTTCGATATATTATATATCTAAACCCTTCTCCAACCCAATTCTCTATCGCCGTCAACACCTCTCCTATTGGCGGTTACCTTCCTCCGCTAGCGGCCACCCTCTCACTACCGGCGGCCACCCTCCACTCCGGCTACCTTCGCCCACCGTTGTAGGCACCCTCCCGCTGCCTTCTCTCTCTCTCTGGGAGACAGCTGTGGCTGGAAAATGTGGATGAATTAAAATCCTGGATCTGATTTTTTCGCATTGGTAGTGATTTTTTGTAGTGGTAGTGTTTTTTCCGCATTGATATTTATTATCATGTAAGCGTATTGTTTTGTGTGAAATGGTAGTGTTCTTTTCTGTAGTGGTAGTGTTTTTCGCATTAGTATTGTTTTCCCTTTTTTTTCTTTTTGCATTGGTATTGATTATCATGTACTGATATTGATTTGCATATATTGATATTGATTAAACCTGCAATGGTATTAGTGTTTTGTGAAATGGTAGTGTTTTATTTCTTGAATAGTATTGGTATTTCACTATTTTGTGCATTGGTAGTGTTCTTTTAATGGATGGGTTAATACCCTAGTTTGGCTCGAAGTTTATCGTTAGTGACAGTTCTGGCTCCATTTTTCAAATAAGACATTTATGGCCTACTTTTGAAATTATTGAACAAATTTAGCCTATGAGACGGCAGTCAACCATTTTCTCCGTCACTGACTCAGCTTGTCCACGTCATTACTAAATTAAAAAAACAAAAACAAAAAAGAAAGGGGAGACACGAGGACCACCACAACCCTTTCCCTTTCCCTATCTCCTTTCTTCCTCGTGCGAGACCCAACCTCCGACATACCACGACGGCATCTAACCGCGGCGAGGAAGCAGGGACGACATTGTTCAAATCTAGCGAAGCGGGTCTCCTTCTGTCGTCCTTCTTTGTGACAGCTTCAGATCTGAATATCCGATCTTGACACTCTGCCGCAAGGAAACAAAAAGCCCTGAATATGAGAGAACCGCAAATGCAAGCAAAATGAAAAATAAAACCTCAAAGGAAAGAGGAGGAGCTCCTAGCTTAATCCAACAAGTGACTCTCGACTTTGCAGAAATAATAGTTGTGTTGCAATTGCTGTTATTGTCCTTTTGTTGAGCTGCTGCTGCATTTGATTGGAAAAGGAAATCAAGAAACAGTAGCTCAAAAGATCAAACATGTGGCGTGCATTTTCGAATTCACACCAAAAGGAAATAAAAAGTCACCCCAACATCTATCTCTGTCTTTTTTCGTTTGGTTGCTCCTTTGATTGGATCTGGATCTCGCCGGTGATCTGGACCACTCCAGCTATCCAGTTGCCCTTCGAGCTCACCTCCTCCTCCACCGTTGTTTCTCACTGCCAAATGTTGCATCGGAGAAAACGCATTCAAGCTCTAGGAAACGAGTAAGTAGGGAGATTGATTGAGTTAGTTAATTAATCACCAGTCGGAGGCAGGGGAGTCGCTGTCATGAGCGTCGGAGGAGGCTGGGGTCTCGCACGAGGAAGACGATGGAAAGGGGATAAGAAAAGGGAAAGGGCTGGTGGTCCTCGTGTCTCCCCTTCCTTTTTTATTTATTTAGTAAATGACGTGTACAAGCTGAGCCAGCATCGAATGCTCAGTAAGTGACGGAGAAAATGGTTGACCGTCAATTATCCTATAGGTCAAATCTGTCCAATAATTTCAAAAGTAGACCATAAATGTCTTATTTGAAAAATGGGGTCAGAAGTGTCACTAATGCTAAACTTCAAACCAAACTAGAGTATTAACCCTTAATGGATTGGTATTGTTTTTTTGTTGGAAGGGTATTAGTTCGGCTGAGCGAAAACAAGAAAAAGATTGAGAAAAAAAAAAAAAGGAAGAGAGATCTGACTTAAGATTGTGAAAGTGAGAGAAAGAGAGAAACTTGTAATTAATATATTTTTGTAGCTTTCTAAAATGTAATTTATTAAAAAAAATAATTACCACTATGACCGTAACCTGTCCCGTTGGGCTGGGGCTTATATGGTAGGGGAATGGATCAGGTCAGTAACCTTATGGTGAGTAACCATGAGTAACCCGTCCACATCAGCATGACATCAGCATCCTCTCTCTCATGGAAATCCTTTAATTTTTCCCTTTTTAATCTTTGACGGACGATTTCTCGCTCATTTTAAGTCGAAATTTAATTTTTTTTTGCACAGTTAGATCAGATTAATTGTGCTCTTCAAAATGATATCTACTTTAATATATTTTTCGAACAAAAAAAATTGACCCATTTTTTACCAGCCTATACCATATGGTATTGACTGGTATTGAAATAAAAGCATACCTATGTTTTGAAAAACGTACCATGGTGGTATGAACAAACCAATACTGTAGGATGGTTGAATACATGATAGTAGAAATATATTAATTGTGATTTACGACTTTTAACATTGTATACCACACAATACCACCCCGTACCAGGGTGATATTGTATGGTATTGTGTGGTATTTTTTGTCCTGTAATTTTTTCACTCAGAAATTTGTAGATCCAATAGATCATGATGAACTCGTCCCTTCTGTGCAAACGTTTTCAAAAACGAATTAAAAACGAAGAAGATACCATATAATACCACCCCGTACCAGGGTGGTATTGTATGGTATTGTGTGGTATTTTTTGGTCCTGTAATTTGTTCACCCAGAAATTTGTAGATCCAGTAGATCATGATGAACTCATCCCTGCTGTGCAAACGTTTTCAAAAACGAATTAAAAACGAAGAAGATACCATATGGTATGCAGTTGGTACCGAGAGGCCATAATTTTTTTTTTCCTAAAAAAATATTGAAAATTGATCTCATTTTGTAGAGCACGGTGAACTCGTTCCATCTGTGCAAAAAAAATTAAAATCCGAGTTAAAACGAAAAAGATATGAGTCAATTAATAAAGCTAGTGAAAATAAAAATAGTCTTTAATTCTCACTCCTTAGATTTGGATTTTCTAAATGAAGGGTCCGGATTTGGTTATTGATGGATGCATAACCCATGGTTATGCACCCTATCTTGAGCCATATGGTAGACTCTGGTCATCATTGTCATTGTTCCTGTTTTGTTTTCCCAGCTGGGTAAGGTACAATCTTCTTTCCTTGTGGGGTTCGTCTTTGTAAATTGTATGGCTCTCGCTAGCTCCAATATAGGGTTGGCTTGATTTTCCATATATACACATCCCTTACTCACCATTTGTACCTACCAGCAACTGGTAGAGACATGACATTTCCCCCCACGTTGTTTGGTTGCCCCAATACGTCATACAAATCAACATAACAATACTACTAACTGTCACGAAAATGAATCATATAATGCATCGTCCAGTTACAATACATTGATGCAATTATATATGTAGTATCAATGTTTGTCACGAAAATAGATCATGCATTGACAGAGTTATGATACATTGATGCAAGCACATATGTAGTATCAATTTTGTCATGAAAATGGATCATGCATTGACGAGTTGAGATACATTGATGCAATCATATATGTAGTATCAATGTTTGTCACGAAAATGGATATTACATTGACGAGTTATGATACATTGATGCAAAGCACATATTTAGTATCAACGTGTATTCATATAGGATGTAAAATTAGGTTTCGATGTATATTTCGGAGGTAACTTTATTACTGTGTTATAATTTTCATTCATTTTCTTATGTTAATTTCTTTTCAAGGTTTTGAGAGCACAATGGAGCAATTCGCAAGCACCCATTTTAGGGAAAAAAGGTCGGGCACTCGGGAATATTCTTTGAGGCCACAACAGATAAGTTACACGACATCCGACCGTCTTCAGGGCACCACGTAAAGATTACGAGCCTCATACTAATTAGTTCATGTGCATGGCTCCCCCGGCCCCGATCTAGCTAGCATGAGAAAATGAAATGCTCGCTATGATACGAGACAGAGAGCCCAAAAATGTGGCCTGTAATAACTAATGATCTTTTTGTTTTAGTTTCCCCGGTCATAAAATGGTTTTTCTATCACCGCAAGACGCACAACCAAATGCACTGGGACATCCATCCTGGCAGAAATTGATGGGGTTTCTTGGCAAGAAGTTGCCGTATTTGAACATTTTTCAAGCGTATGAATGGATTCAATCATATATACCCTAGCTAGTTCTTGGTCTTCTGGGGATTCTGAAAACACATGTAATTGGTTTTGAATGTGTGAGGGTGTTTTCTACGCTGGCTGGTCAAATGGGAGAGAGATGTCACCCCGGACCGATATTACATAATGTTACATGACACATCATATCTTGCACTTGTGTCATTTTAACGTGTTTATGATGTACCTATGTATTGTAATGTTTGTTAAATTCAAATCGTAGATGGAATTTCCGGTGACTGCATCTGGAAGTTCAGCTCCCACTGTTGTTCCTTTCACACCTAGCGTAAACGGATTTATTTATATAGATTCCGACTCAGACGCTGATGGCGATGATTCACACAAGAGGCCAAAAAATGCGGCTGTGGAATATATAAATGTATCGGGGAAGGTATATAGAATTTATTTAAAGAAATTACACCTGTGTGATTTTAAAATGTTTATGATGTACCTATGTATTGTGGAATTTCCGGTGACTGCAATAATGGCATTAGATAATGATGAGGATCGTTCCATTGCGTATTTCATCTTTGGTGATGGTCTACAAGATGATAAATGGCTTGTTGAGAATTTTGGCCATAGTTTAAGTCGTCTAGAACTGAAGGACTTGCTGCCAGAAACGTGGCTTCATGGTTATGTAAGTATTTTGTAGTTCTGTTTTGGTAAGGCAAACTTGCCCACATATTAGCTATACTAATCTTTGGTTTTGCTTATTTTAGATTTTGACTGCTGTAGCTTGTAAATTAGCTGTTGATGTTAGGGCTTGGGGGAAAAATGGACCTTGGTATCTTCCATCCAATTTTGAGGTAAGCAACAATTACGGAAAACTCTTTACAGTAATTTTACTTTTTTCTTTCTCCCAAAGTTGAATAGTGAATGTGAACTGCTACCCAGGATTTGGTTTTGAAAATGGGTTGGACTCCAAAAAAAGCCGTGGAAAATTATAAGAACCTATATCTTGGCGGCACCTTTGAATGCAACAAGGTATGGTGTAATAATATTAGTAATTTTTCCAGGGTACTCTATTCTCTTAATGTTTTGCCCTTTACTGTATAGTCCATTCATTGTTTCGTCATCATTTACTTGTTTATTATTTCAGATATATTTGCCAATGAATGATGAGAACCGTCATTGGTTTCTTATTGTGGTTTTCATGGACCAAAAGGTAGTGCATGTAGTGGACTCTTTCCCTATTGATTTGGGTGTGCTGGAAAATCGTAGGAAAAGGGTGCAAGGAATGGTGGGTGATCAAACTATTCCCTTCTATAAATTTAGTAAGTAAATTTTCTTATTCTAAATTTTTGTACTATAATAGTTACGTGGTTAAGTTTGTTGTTACAGTTGAAATTCTTTTACAAGATGCTTCAAGAATTTCCAGACAAGCCATCAACCTATGAAGTGCCCAAAGTGCATAAGTTCCAAATCATAAGTCCTCCATACGTTTCTAAGCAAATTGATGAGTTAGTATTTCTTTGACTATTTTGATTATTTCATTTCGATAAACAATCTTATTTTCAATAATAAATGCTATTTTTCCACGTAGCTATGAGTGCGGGTTTTACGTCTGTCAGTGGATGTTGCACGGAGAGGCTGATAATAATTCGTATACGGCGGTATAATACAATCCTTTCCTTCTAAATATGATTCCATCCACGTGAGATTCTACACTATCAAATCGAAATCAACATGTTAAGAGTAATGTTCTAAATTTGGTGCAGATTTGTAGTAATAGAGGTCGATTATCCTTGGCCATAAGTTTAGTCAAAGATCTCCCAAATACAAGGCGCTCTCAAATTATTGATGAAGCAAGGGCCATTTATGAAAGACATTTCAAGGGGAAAATCAGCTCAAAATGCCAGAGGAGTTTATTTGATTTATTTTAGAAAAGTAGTTGTTTTTGTTTTATTGGTAGTCGGTCGGTTTTATACTTTTATTGGTAGTCGGTCGGTTTTACTATCGCTTTGATCCCAACTGAATTCATTTTAGATTGGTTTTGGTGTTTACCTTTATTTTTTCTTAAATCCGAATGTTGGTTCTCGTTTTTGTGGCTTTGTTCCTGATGCTTGTTCAGCTGAGATAAGGCTTAAAGAAGGCGCCTATGCATGAGCCTTAACTGCCGTGATTTCATTATGGGATTGAAAGGACTGAGATTGTATAGAAGAAGACGACTTTGACCTTTCGTCTGGTCAGTGGGCTTTTTTGTTTATCTTTATTTCGTCCCAAAAAACGCGCCAATTCTTGGCTTTGGCCTTTGGATATCTCATATCTTGCCAATGCCACCGGAGGACGCCGGAGATATATGCGTTCATCGGAGCAAACCTAACCATGTTGGATCCAACAAATAGCTTCAATAACAAAATTTTAACCCAATAACAAGTGTTTTTAGTTGCTCAGAGCTGGATCGTATCGAGATAGTGGTAGAGATAGTGGTAGATTGATAATGTATATATAGTATGTTCTCCAACTAGACCCTGTAACTTAAAGTCAGTTACAACTAATTTGTCTTTAAATCATAGCAGGACAACTAAATATCGTCAGAAAGTCAAAGAGGTTCAAGGGTATTGTTTTGGTTCTCAACGAACATGAAAAGGGAACGAGACAAGCAGACAATTCAAACAATTCAAGGGTATTGTTTTGGTTCTCAACGGAAATGAAAAGTGAAACAAAACTAGAGTACTGGCAGGACAACTAATCAACCAAAAAATTCATAAACGTTTGCAGGAACCAATATCCAGAATATACTAGTGCAGGAGAAATGAACCACTATCTCCCTATGAATCTTCTAGTTCTGGATTACGCTCTTTTGGCTTTCTTCCTTGTACCTACGAGTCTGGGCAACAAATCTCGATGCATTCCTATTTGCTTCCTCGATGACGACATGTCTTATGTAATTTGTAGGCTGTTGGACCAGATATAAAGCTAGTTGCATTCTCCTTATATCTCTGCATGGCTGCAACAGTTTGACAATGACAATGAGGCTTAGTAGCTGTTTCGAAAGGTTGTTTTCCTTCAAGGCCAAGTAGGAGAATTCTTGCTTACCCATATATTATAAGAAGAATCCCAAGATGCACCCATCATCTATGAGCACACCCAAACGCCACTATCAGACCTACATAAAATAAGATGCAACATATGAGTTGTGGGTATCTAAGTATGTTTCTAATTTATTCACAACGAACAATTCTTACTCGTGACGTTGTTCGGGAATTGAAGGAATTGTCAGAGAAAATTTTTCCAGCACAGGTGGATCAAGTGTTGGTTCCACTTGCCGATAAAGATCCTCAAACAAGCCATCAAGAAATTCGATCTACATAAGCAGTAATCAATTTATTCGAAATAGATGAAAACACAAATTATTCGGATTAGGAGGTCAAACCATACCATAGTTACTACTGCGTTTCTACGAGATCTTTGGCGCTTTTTAGAAGGATACGAATCCAAAAGATGGACTTGTTTGTCATCCAGCATAATGACAGCTAAATACCAGTGAACTGCATCACCGTCCATTGCATCTTTCATGGGCAGACACACCTAAATAACGACGAGAAAGACCAAACTCAGCTGAGCATTATAAAATACAATTTACAGAAATATCAAAAGCTTGATGGAGCATCTAATTTATTCGCATATCCAATTCAAACAGTATCTAGAAACAGTAATTGAGGAATATTTCAATGCAACAAGAAAGGACTTGTTAAGGAGAAACCTTTCTGCACGTGTGAGCTCTTGCCAAGAACTTTGCACCGTAACACTCTAGAGCTTTTTTTGATGTCATGCCATAGTTAATCACCATTTCCTGATCATGGTTCATTTAAAATAGAAGATAACACATTTAATAGGAGAAACGGAATATTGCACCTAAAATAAATATATAAAGTAAATGGGACTATACTTGTAGTTCAGCAGGCAGATAACAGACTACTCTTCCATCTCCAACATCCCTCCAAACTTCCTCCAGGCTCAATTGGCAAGCCATGGCTGTAATTACATCATCAGCGACATTAGACTTAGGGCAGAGGGACCACAACACCTGTTGTGTATAGGATTGCATCATGGTTTCGACCAAGACTTCCTTTTCTGGAAGATCCTTCGCAAATATGTAGTGGGCAAGGTTCACTTCCACTCTAGTGTACTTGAGAACTGTTGGAAGTGTAAACTTTGTTTCACCCTACAATAGAAGAAGAAACATAAGGATAAAAACAATTGATTTTGTTCTAAGTGGGGAAAATTGGAAGGCTAGATTATCATACCTTCTTGGCGAATTGTAAGTAAGAAAATCTGGTACGACCTTTCCTAACTAAGTCATTCCAATCTGCCTGCAAATCACCATCAATCTGGATCACACCATCTTCAGTTCTACCTTTCTTTCCTCGAGATTCATCCTTCTCTAGCAAAGAATTCATCGTAATAAAAACACAATGCCTTAATTCAGTTCTGCCAACGATGGAGAAAAGGGGAAAAAAAGAATGCAAATTGACGAACCATTAATTTGGAAGAACTTCTGGTCTTGCGTTTTGTCATCATCCTGCCGTCCTTATCGTTCTGCATATTGCTCCTGGTTTCTGCCCCCTGACCGAGCTCCTGTACTGCTGTCCTGAATGAGCTCATGGTGAATGCAGAAAAGGAGTTAGCAATCTTAAAATAGGGCCAGCCGCCAACGGGTGAGTGTTTTTCTCTATAAGGATACTGGAAACTTTATCTTCCTCATTAACCTCCACATGGAAAAGGAAAATAATATTGTATACGGGTAATAATTAACATGGAAACAATCCGCATCCCATATTTGGAAGTTGAATCTACCATATATAACACGCAAGCATTTTTCAGTAATTTTTTTTTCGGTAATTCAAGCATTCTTTATTAGTTGCATTCTTTATCCAACTAATTAGCTGCATTCTTTATCTAACTAGTAACCATAACGGGAAACAATATAATAAAAATTTAAAGTACTAAAATATAATAAAAATGTACACCATGATGGGAGAAAATAGAAAAAACTAATAACACGTGAAAAACGGATTAGGTTAACAACAACAGCAAAAAGACCTCTGCTTTGTGCCCGATACAGCCCCTCCCCACAAAGTCACAAACAAAAAAAAGACGGCACACCAATGGAGGAAGAGGGAGATAATATCAACAACAATGAAGACAGCGATGTTGAAATCATACCAGAAACAATGACCTCTGACAGCGATGGTCCTACTGTACAGGAGGATGACAGAAACGTTATTCAAAATTCTCCTTTTATCGGTCAGGAATTCAATGATTATGAGGATGCATATGCATTCTACAACAACTATGCTAAGAGTTGGGGGTTTTCTGTCCGTCGCCTAAGGAAGGTTAAGAACGTCAAGGGAGAGGTAACAAGTGCAGCCTTCGTGTGTTCTTGTCAGGGAGTTCGAGAAGCACATAAAGGTCAACAAAAGAGGGAGTCGCCTATGGAGATCAGATTTCAGTGCATGGCTATGTTTCGTGTGAGCATGAACAAGACAAGCAATAAGTGGGTGGCTGATATATTTAACTCACAGCACACTCATGACCCAGTTAGGCAGAATGAGGTACATTACTTGAGGTCGCATCGAGGATTAACAGAAGCAGACAAGGCAGACCTCCGATTTAAAAAGGATGCCGGAATGAAACCTTCTCAGGCCATTAAGCTTGTTGTGCATTGTGCTGGAGGGCATGACAAACTTGGGTATACAGTTAAAGATGGGTTAAATTTCAGCACCAAAGACCGCGCTGAGAGAATCAGCGAGGGTGATGCAGCAACTGCACTGGCCTATCTAGAATCAAAGAAAACCACAGACCCACACTTCCTCCTCCGATACACTACTGATGAGGAAAAAAGGCTCCATTTTTTATTTTGGGCTGACAGCATTTGCAGAGCCGAGATTTCGTGTTTTGGAGAGTTGCTCGCATTTGACACAACGTGCCAAAAAAACATTTACAATATGCCACTGGTCATTTTTACAGGTACGCCATCCTAGTATGCCCTCTAAGTATTATCCTTTACTTTGTTGTTTGAATACACATAATGGCATCTAGAAAACAGCAAGGTTCTGATTATATGAACTCTACAATTGTTTACATATTCCTCACAGTTTTAGCTTTTCTCCTGCTAGTTCAAAAGATTCTGATTTTTCTGAGTTTCTGTTTAACATTGTAGGCAAGGTTGTCAACCCGCGGGTCGACCCACTTTGACCCTGACCCGGTGAGAAAAACGGGCCGCACGCACCCGTCGGGCCGACCGCTACAAGGTACCAGGTTGGAGGTCAAATTGTGTCATTTTTTTCATTGGTTTGCGAAATGCGCCTATTTTCCGAACATTTGAATATTTATATTATATAAGTGTGTGTGAATTTTCACTATATGTTGGATCTATATACGATATTTATTTTGGTGTAATATTATATGTTATAACTCATATGTTAGATAAGATTTGATATAATTTATGAGGATAAGTACAATATAATGACTTTTTCCATATTTCCGGGCCAAACCGGGCTAAAACGGTTGACCCATTAACCCTTGACCCACTAGCTCGACCGGGTCCGGGTCAACCCGCGGGTTGACAACCTTGATTGTAGGTATCAACCATCACTTCAAAACTGCTTATTCAGGAGTGCACTGTTGCCCAATGAGACTGACGAAACCTATATTTGGGCGTTGAAGATAGTGAAGGAAATGTTGGGGGACATTCCGCTACGTACAGTTGTCACGGATGGGGATAAAGCAATGAGGAAAGCTATTGCTAATGTGTTTCCAAATGCAACACATCGGCTATGTGCATGGCATTTGTCCAAGAATATCACTGGCAGGGTGAAGAATCGACCCGACTTTGAACCCCGGTGGAAGAAGTTAGTAACTGCTGAGTACGAGCCAGAAGAATTTGAGGAGAAATGGAATGCATTGGTAGAGGAATGCGAACTCCAGAACAACCAATGGGTTTCGAAAAAACTATTTGGGAGACGCAACGAATGGGCGGACACATACTTGCGCTCACATTTCTTTGCTGGGTTGACAACCACATCAAGATGTGAAAGCATAAATGCGGTTGTTGCAAGGTATGAAAATGAGAGGTTCTGTTTGCTTGACTTTTTCACTCAATACGACCGGTGGCTCAGAGACATGAGAGAGACAGAGATTAGATTAGATTTTGAGTCTAATTATGGTGTAGTTCCTATAAAGAATTCAATCCTAAAGCCCCTCGAGCAAAGTGCAGCAAAGCTTTTCTCAAAGGGTAACCAAACTGAAGAGGGGAACCTACACACTTACACTGTTACCATGTTCAACAAAGAGAAGGTCATAGAGGTGAAATACAACATTGAAACAAGCGATATGGAGTGCAGTTCTCAAAAGTTTAAGAGTATTGGGATACCCTGCGTTCATATGCTATTTGTTCTCAAAGAAGAAAAAGTGAAGACTATTCCTGAAAAACTGGTACTCAGACGTTGCTCGAAGAACCCAAAGTCCCTACACACTCTTCCAGAACCAAGTACATTGGGGGATGACAGCAGTTTCAACATTAGGTACGGGTCGCTACAGTTCATGGCTCAACGATTCTGCTTATTAGGAGCAGACACTCCTCTCTCTTATCGAATGGCTCAAGATGAGTTGACAGCAGCGTGTAACAAGTTGGAGATGGTAAAGAAAACCCTCGCCGAGAGAGAAAGGATTGTCATACCAGACCAGTTCAAAGATGTATTGAACCCAAATCAAGTGAGGTTTAAGGGTTGTAGGAAAGGAAAAGGGAAAAAACAACTTAAGAAAAAAAAGAAGAAAGTGTGGGAACTGCGGGCTAAGGGATGGGCATTATAGGAGCACTTGTACTAACCCCCCAGCCGACGTGGTAGAATCTCAATCTGATGAGGAGGATGACGACGATGACATGGACGATGATGGGGACGATGATGGGGACGACGGAGAAGATGGAGACGACGATGATGGAGATGATGACCAAGGTGGTCAGCCCCCAAAGGTAATTAGCATCTCTGGTTAGATGTTCTTGATATAGTTATTAGAGTTAATAACCTACAGTTGTTATTTTGTTTTTACCAGAAGCAACGAACGAGCAGACATAATACTACTGGAGAGCCCATAGGAAAAAGTCAGCCACAACAGAAGGTTATATATCATTTGTTTATTCACTAAATTATCGATTTGTTAGAAATGGCTATTAGCTTAAGAGTTTATTTGCCCTCTAACAGATCGGGGCACGTACTAGGAGCAATACTAGTCAACAAGAGAAGGGAGCTAAGAAGCATACAGGGCATAGTGCTGGGAGTACTAGTCGGCATGATGATCGTCCAAGCGATGAACATGAACTGGTACTTTTCCAATCACACTAATGATTTAACCAGCAAGATTAGATGATTCTGTGTTGGAAGTTACATGTTTAATATTATTTTTTTTTATTTTGGTCTGCTACAGAAACAACATCAGACTAGAACCCGTGGTGCAAAGAACAGAAGCATCAATAAAAACAAATGAAGTTCACTAGCACTTCCATAGCAAGAAGTTGAAACGTCCATGGAAAACAATGACCACTTTTTATTGAGTTTACAATTTTATTATTGATTTTAGGCGACAAAATCTTTTATCTTGGTATATTTCACAAAAGTAAACTCCATCGACACTTCATATTTTTGTTGGACGAAGGGTACATTGCGGGACATGAACTGTTTGCAATTGAAAGGACATACCTGGCTTTTCTTCTTTGTTCTGTTGTTTTTTTTTTGTGTGTGAAGCAGACCTGGCTAGCTAATGCCTCACGGGTTGCTCCTCAATAAACTGTCAGCATAAGAACAGGTAGATCTTTGAATCAGATGTTGAAGCCAAATATATGGAAACCCATTCATGTGTCTAACCAGTATAGCCGCCTAAAATTGTAACAGTGACATTGGAAATGCGTAATTTACCTCCAGTCTGAAGTGCTTTATCACGCCATAGAGGGTTCTCCTCAAGAAACTTCTCAAATGCAAGTAACTTCTGTGGTATTTCCTTAATCATATC